CAGCTCCTGCAAACACCAACATCCCCTGCTGCACTGCCGTTTTCGGTCCCCGTTCCAGGAAAACACTAAAGAAATGTGTAAAATACAGCTCAGTCTAGAGAGATGCAGAAGTCATCATCAACTGCACACAGATAAATAGCTGTCTTACAGTGGTAAAATAATTGGAGATAATTAGTGTTTACCTTATGCACTGACCTATGTTAATAGGGCTAGAACAGTTGCTAACAGCTGGTGCGCTGGAAGCGGCCAGAATCACAACCCGTTTCAGTTAACGGTTGTTTCAAAAGCTAGTAGAGCTCGGCTAACAGGCTTGACTTTCAACATTAATAGGCTTACACTTTTAAAATGAAGTTCATTTGAGCTTTCTAGATACCAGTCCTTTTCTTTGCTCTTGCTAATATTTTATGGAAACAGAATTAACATGAATTATTATTAAACAGGACAACATCAGCAACAGAATTGAGTGTTTCAGTTCCATTCATTCTACTATTTTTAATTGATATTGTCAATTAGTTGAAATTGCAGAAGTGGAAACAGAATTAATTTACAACAGTAGACTTAAAACTGTTCACCTAGCTTTTTATCACTGAACTGATCTCGCTGTTGTATTTGTGCAATGATAACATTGTTCTCTTGCAAAGCATTCTGCTGACAAGAAAATTATCACTAGGTTTTCACGAATAAAAAAATCTAAGCTTTCTGACATCACCCAGAATTAAAAAACTCCCCTAAAAACCTAGAAAAAAGATAAATTAAGTTCCAGTTCTGTCCCAAGACAGATGCCTGAATTAACTTTCACACCTCTAATATGCCCTCCCTAGTCATAGATATATGAAAGAATTAAAGCATTATTTAAGTGTCCAAGTGAAAAAAGCAGATTTTCTAATAAATAAGATTATTTGGAGAATCAGGCTAAAACAATGAGCTGGGAAAAAAATGGACACTTAGTCAGAACAGGAAAGGGCACGTGGAGAAAAATGAACAAATCCACAGTGGAGGAAACAGGACAGAAAGTGCCAAAGGCTTGAAAGCCGTAACGCGGCAGAGGACTCCTCGGCTGGGACTCACACGGTCAGGTTAAGCAACTGCTACTTCTCAGCCAGACTGAGAGCGATCCAGGAGACGGCATGAGGATGCAGGGGCAGCTTCTGGCCTCAAACTTACAGATACAGATACGTCTTACGCCAACATTCACGCTCACTGTCCAGAGGCCAAATTAATGGCAAACAGCGCTTGGCAAAATTTTCCACTTTCTTCTGAATCCTAGGTAATTTTAGATGATTTCTAATGGAAACAACAATTCAAAGTAAAAGGAGAGTAATATGCAGAAGCGTGTGAAAATCACAAGTCCAGATGGAAACAACACACAGAACATTAAAAAATAATTCATTCAGCAGTGGGTTTTCATTATCTCAATTGCTGCAGTAGCATGATGGCTCCTGTTTAACAGCCAAGACACACACCTTGCCAAGCCACTTTTATGAGACTTCTGCCAGGACTGTTTAGAGGATGGCAGACAGTACGTTCAGACTCTGACCCCTAAAAACCATTTCCTGTTCAACAATCGCTTTGTTGAGCATCAGTCCAACTAATGAAAGAGCCTTGAAAGGAAGTTCATTTTATGTTTATGCCACTACTGCACCTTTGACTCAAGTGAAACTGAAATTCTATTTCATGTTCCAAAGCTTGAAAAAACATAGAAAAAAACCTGTAACCGCAGCTCAGACTTGAAATACCTCTGTTTTCACAGAGGACATGACTAAGACCCCATCTCTTCAGTAAAACAATGTGGGATGATCTGCCAATTTATGTCAAATCTCATCGTGGTCTCTGGCAGCTAGAGAAAACAGCTTCTTCTCTCATGTATGCAATTTTATATCCCTTTCAAAACATATTAGCTTAAACCTATCAATAATCAATGTCTAAATACTCTTGTTATTCATATGATTTATTCCTCCATTTTGCTAAAAGTTTGGCTTCAAAGTCTTGAACTGGTAGCCAGAAGGTCACCTGGGGGCTCGCGTGCAGGAGTGCTCACGTTCAGATGCTCAGCCAGTGACAGGCGGATCCCTCTTACAGCTGTGTAACGAGGGGCAGACCGAGTTTTAAGGTGAGCTGGCAGTGGAACTGGGGAACATCGCTTGGCTGATTGCTGTGAAAAGGGGTGAACAGATACAGTCAGCCAACCTTGGGCGGGAAGAGAAGGAAGAAGTGGTGTAATCAACACACAAGTCATCTGGGATAAACTGCTTCCGAATGGGCATGGACTGGGATATTTTACGGCACAAGCTTGTAATTACTGCTGCTATTATAAACAACGAGTTTTTCACTTCAGGTTAAATAGGTACCAGAAAGGCACGCTTTAACATTGGACATTTTCTAACATTTTTTAAAACTCAGAAGTTTTTGACAAAAACAAAAAAACCCAAGTTTTTCTTGAATAGCTATTGTAGACATACAGTATTTCTCCTGAGAGACAGCTGCTCTGATTCATCTACAAATTCTCTCACAAGAGTAACATTTAGGAACATATAGATAGGCATGTCCTAATGCAGCTAAATTTTGGCTCTGTTTCTCATGTCAATTAGGGTTTTTTTTTTTTAATAAAAGCATAATACCAACTGGTATGCCATATGCATTCAAGGAAAAAACAAAACCTCTTTTTTATTGGTTCGCACTGATTAAAAAAAAGAAGTATACGCTGCAGGAGCAAATCTAGAATAATGACAAAACACGGGATCATTAAAATTAAAAAACAGAAAATAACGTTCCAGATGCTAGCCTAATGGTATGGGAGAAGAGACCGTGTGAAGCCTTGAAAATGCGACAAACTGACAATACCCCTGTGAAAAGATAAAAGGAAGGAACAAAAAAGAGATTGAGGATGAGCTTTATACAGGAAAGAAAGTCTGCAAAAGCTACTTCAATTGTTTTATTTCTTACTGACAGCAGCTTTCCATGGATATAAGCATTTTGCATCATGGCGCAAGATATCCTTTACACATTGATCCAATAAAGCAAAAACATAAGCTATGTCATCATAATAACATCATCCAGATCTTCCACTGCTTTTTCACCAGTAAGGCCCAAAATGCTTTATAAAAACAGACTCCTCACCTCTTTGTATAAAAAAAGAATAAAGAGAGGAACAAAGTTTGCTCAAGCTCAGGTGGATGCTTAATAGCAGAATTGGAATCAAAACAGAGATATTTCAAGTTTTTAACTCAATAATGGAGTCCCTTTGAAATAGAAGTCTCATATTTTACATTATCAAAAGTAAATTTAAACTATTCCACTTTAACACTGCATCAGTACATATTCCCTTTTTAATTTTAACAGACTGATAACAATGTCTTCATTTAACACAGCTATTATTTAAGCGACTAAATCTCCTATTCCGTCTTATTTGGCATTTTGATCCACAAATCTAGTCCAATGATCCATTTCAAAAGCCTTGCTATACCTCCATCTGTGACTGGCATTTTGAAAGTACTCTTTTATGAAGTCTTTCCATAGCTGCTCTTCTAAGTCAGCTCTACAGTAAATCATTACCAGATTTCTTAGAAAGAGGATACAAAGCTAAGCAAAACCACCCTTGCATTTATATTCTTTGACTACCTGCATTTGCACAACTGACCAGGAAATCTGGAGTTTGATTCAGGTAATGCAATTTTATTTATTTTAACACAGTCCTTGATAAAAATACATGCAAAATCTGTTATCACATTCAATAACAGAATACAGAAGTCAGTGGCGGAAGAAATTTATAAGCCTGTAAATAACTACCCTGATGAAGCAGGAATTCCTTGCTAACATGGATTATGATACAACCTATAAACTGCAGAGAGGCTGGGTACAAATAATAGGGAGAATATATGAAAACCCTTGCTTTCATTAACAAAGGCTGAAAGATAAAGCAGCAGTATAAAAGCAAAAAGAAAAAGAAAGTGCAACGGTTCAGTGCGTAAATAAAATCTGAAAGAAAAACACAAAATGAAGTGCTGCAATTCAAGATGGCCACTCCAAAAAACATAATTCACAAAAGGGAAGGCTCTTCTATGGCTTACTATGATGGTCTTTGTTTTGAGATTAGAGCGTGCAGAGCTCTAGAAAACACTTTCACTAAAATTTTTTCTAAACCACTTTTCTGGTCTTACAAAAGAGATAAAATTTTTGGACTCCAGCTGACGAGCAGTTGAACACACTGCACTTTTTGATCACCAGTACGGAGTGTTGTGCTTGTTACTTGCCACAGTTTCTGAGCAGAGGAACCTGAGTGATGAATCTCATCTTAAATTGCATCTTTAGTTAAAGAGACTAGTAGTAAGACTGTGCAAGGGACTGACAGGAGAAATGCAATCTGGAGCAGACGCTGCTAAAATTGATTAGCAGGTAAATGCCTGGCCCTGGGCTAGCCAAGAGTGAGCCAGAGCTACAGAAGCAATCAACAGTAGCTAGTGGGAACCAATACTAGAAGAAAGAGGTAATCAACACCATTTACGCTTTCCAAAATGATTCCTCGTGCAGTTAACTCTTATTAAGAATGTTGAGATGCACAGAATTTTTTAAAACGTCTCCTCAAAATATGCTACGCATAACAACTCTTTAAACACTATTTTGAGAGGTCTTATTGCTCCATTATTAGTAAGAATCTCTGTGCTACCTCTTAAGAAATTTTAGAATAAAATATTCCTGGATGCTCCTGAACACTTACTACTTTCAGTATTAAAACAGTTATCTGGTCTTCACATCCCAAAAGTGATGCTGTTTCAAAATGGTTAAGATCAGTATCTTCACGGGCATCAGGAAAAAAAAAAAAGTTGTTTATTCAGAAAACAGCTTAATATAACTTTTAAACACAAAAGATATTTACTATCTAGAGGTTTTAGCAAAGAGAGCCATTAGTACAGAAATATTCATACTCATCTACATTACATGTTAGTAACGTAAAGAATAATCGTGAAGGAGTAACTGCTTCCCCAGAAGAGAAACTTTCTTACCTTTGGCCATTTGGGATTTAGAAGTCGTGCTTTGATTGCATCATCCAGTGCCTTGTCATACTGATGGATTTTCATGTAGGCTGCTGAACGGTTACTGTAGAGAATGCAGTTCTGAGGGTCGACTCCCAAAGCCTCGTTGTACAACGTGATCGCTGTGTGAAAGTCGCCATCATGGCAAGCCTGGTTGCTCTGGCGAACTTTCTCGACAAATTCAGCTTTGCTCAACATGGAGCTGTCAGGACTTCTTTTTCCAAAAGATTTTGATCCAAAAAAAGAAATCTGTGGGGGAAAAAAAAGATGCTAACATTAAGAAATGCCGCTCAAAAATATTATTAAAATTGTCAAAATATTAAAAACTGTACAGTAGAAATTAAAGCCATCAGCATTACTGCAGCAAATTCTGAAGTGGGAATTAGATTTTTTTTTAATTATTTATTGACTTTTTTTTGGTACAGCAGCAACAAGAAAGACCCTTAGAAAACATGTTATTTCCCGTGCAGGATGTTTTCTAGAAAACACATGCCTTCTTCAGGCATACGATGAGCTGTAATACGTCTTTTAATATGCTGCACTCCGCATATTCACACCTTTTTTCCCCCTCAGCCATACTCTGATTCTACAACATCAAGCATATTTCGAGGGTAAGGAAGTTTATCTGAAAAGGTGGCAGGCGTGAAGGTGAAGATGACGCTGGTATAGTCACAGTTTGATAAAGAGGTCACGAAGAAGCGCGTGTGTGCACAGACAAACGTATAAATCTCTTTAAAACCAAGAGCTTACTCTCCTACATCTGCTCACAAACCTCTACATAAAGCCAGGTGCCAGCTACAGATTACTCACGAACGGAAAGAGGAGGAGGAGTGCGTGGAATAGGGAATACTCGCACAAACTAGCGGGGCACAAAGCCTACGTCAGCAACAGAGGAGTCATCGCTGCAGACCGCTCCCTGGTTTGCCAAAGTCAGGCAATACAAATAGACAAGGAAAAACAGTTTTGAACTACACAGTTTGGGGCCTTTTATTTGTAGACCTCTAAAGATTTAAAGTGAGCTATAGTAGGCCTCAGTTCCACAAGTTGCCTTGTGCATTTATAATTCAAAAAGTAGCTTTTTTCCTTTTTTTTTTTTTAAAGGACATTTTAAAAGTCATCATTCAGTGCCAAAACTCACTAATAACAAGCGAACAGACAAATCCTGCAATTGCAGGGAAGTGTCACGTACACGCCGACGGTTTCAACTCGTTGCTGAACAAAAAGTCACAGAACAAACAATTAACCAGCCCTCCCCCTTCAAAGGCCAGCATCACCGGGAGCCACGACACTTGCTTCCGGCTAGTTGCAAGAAGTGCGGGTTTACCTGCTGGAACTCCAGCAGGTGACATTCACACAACGTTACAGCATAACAGTATATACATCGTGGATGAATGACCTCCCACACTATAACATCAGCTGCATTTAGCCAGCACGCTGGATGCGGGGGGCTGCTAGAGTGGGAACACTCTCAAATTCATAATGCTGCAGGTATAAGCAGAAAGGTGGGGCTTAGTTTTTGGATTGGTTTTGGTTTCAGTACGAGGTGCTGCTCCGAATGGGACAAAAATGAAGCATCAGAATCTTGCTCGTTTTCACTGAGGCTCAAATCATCATCATTATTAATATAAATCACCATTGAAATCAAGAAGTTTATGCTCTAGATGAACGGATGAGCAAGCCGGCTTCATTAACAAGGACTCTTAAAAGCAGAGTTTTATGCACACACACCCCCCCCCCAAAACACTATATTTTGCTGGAGACATTCCCTGTTAGGCAGGGAAAGATTAAAGAACAAATTACAGCATTTTAAGACTAAAACAAGAAATAGACTAGAAGGACTATCAGGAAGCCACCTCATCCAATAATCTTCAAGCCAAAATCCAAGAGATCAGAAAGGAGAAACAGTACGTTTGCAGAGGAGATCGATGAGGAAGTGCTGGGAACTGAGCAATCCCCAGGACTTAAAACACCACACGCAGAGGTGAACGCCTCTGAGCGATCCTGATGCCGCTTGCTCCTTTTTCCCAGATGGGATTGCTGCTTTCCCTCTGCAAAACCTGCAAAGCCTGAAACCTGGTTCATTCCCCCACTAACAATAAACACAAGTCTGTAGCAATTCAGTAGTAATTAATATCAGGGCCACAAACAAAGGAAGGTCAGAAAAAGATTACCAATGCTGAAAGGAAAAAAAAGGAAAGCCTGAGAACTGGATTTTCCCTAACTTTTTCTTATTCTGATTTACAACAGGTGGAGAAATGGAAAGATTAAAGAGTGAAAATGTGGGTTAACAGGCACAATACCTCTTTTCATGTGTGAAGGATGTCATAAAGGCTTGTGCTAAAAATATTCTTAACAATTAGTCATGGGACTCTGCAGGATCTAAGAAAAAAGATCAGTGTCAGTGAAGAGCATTTGAAGTTACATTGATTCTGATTACTCTTTACCTTTCTACATTCTTCATTTTACTCAGTCATCTGCATTTAGTAACTGTTTCTGTCACGTGTACCATATTTCCTCCCGAAGACCCTCAAAAACCTCAACACAAGAACATCTTTGTATAATTTTGATTAAAAAACAGTTCAGAATTGTGCAGTTATTTTATTTGGCTGCAGGTAATATGTACATATGGAAACATACAAGGTACTTTGAGACTATTACAATTGAGACTGGCATTTCCCACATTTAGTCCTCCAGACAGAAAAAGGTTAAGAAAATTACATATTGTTACCACAACACAACAATTGCACAGCTTAAATACATTACCAGAGCAAGCTGAGGCATATTTTTAGGTGGAAAGGGAAGTAAGCTGCAAACTGACATCCTGTCTCAGGCATCAAAGTGGTCTATAGACTTCTTTAAGTATAAAAGCAAAAAACAAACAAAAAAACAACAACAAAAACTTTCAAATTAGAAAGCATGGATCGCTTCTTTTCCTTATGATTATACCCAAATTTTTCTGACAGGTGTTTTATCCAAACTGTTTCTAAAGCTATTGAAGGAGACTCCATGTTTTCCTCAGGCAACTCCATTCCACTGCTTCTTGATTTTCATAATTAAAGTATTTTTCCTAATATCAACTCCAAATCTCCTTTGCATCAATAAATGCAGTTTCTTGTCCTGTCTGCAGTAGAACTAACCAAAGACTTCATTCCTTTTATCTATGTAATTGCCTTAGAGTACTAAGGCAGTACTAAGAGTACTTGCTTATGTAAGCTAATATGTTGCTTGACTTTTTTATTTTTTTATTAGAAACAGCGCTATAAAAAGCAAATTTCTGCATCCTTGAAAATTCATTCCATATGCAGTACATCTTTAAATGCACTAGCATATTTCTCTGCTACTTCAGTCAAGTTTAGAAACAGCAACTTCATATATTCTCAAATACTAGCAGAAAATTGTCCTACTTTGAACAACTACTCCAACAATTGAGCCGAACATATTACTTTATGCCAAGCAGAATGATAATTCACATCTTTGTAAGTGTGTATGCGACCATAAACTTCACGATGTGCTCAGTTTGCCGTTACCTAAGGAGTTGCAAGGACAGAATATGAAGGGGCTTGTATTTAGCAGCTGTTGCACACAAGTGGATGTTTAAACACAGCGATCAGGAAACCCTGAGAAAACCAAATAGTCACTGGAAGGTCACAGAAGTACTCTGGGGGAAGACAGGAGCAAGAGAGAAGGTGGAAAGGTGAGGCTGGTGAGCGCCCCGCTGCTCAGGTGGCCACCCAGAGAAACGCTGGTTTACATGGAGAATTGCCTCATTGCAGGAAGAGGAAAAAAGCCAAAGGAAATATCAGATTCCTCCCTTCTCCATTTACCTTCACCTGCTGCTTTCCTCTGTAGCTTCAGAGGGAACAGCTTCGCTGATTCCAAGAAACTACATTTCTGCCTGCTCTTCAAGCCCATTTAATGCAATAATGTTGCGCAAGACTCTTCTCAGTGGGCAGACCTAACAACTATCACCTAATTTCTCCTACCGTTACAGTCAGAGAAACTAATGAACTTTCAGGCTGTTCTTACTTCAGCTGTCTCATGTTTGCACCAGCTTTTGTTCCTGGAAATTACCAAAAGAGTGGAAAACTTGATTTTATACAGGCAAGAACCAACGCTCCAGAGTCACTCTAGGCATGAAAATCCAATGCAGTGTTTCACAAGGGCTCACTCTGCATAAGGAGTATGGAGCATTTTAACCTGAGCAATATTCCACTCGTAAAAAAGAATATACCCTTTAGCTGAGGTCTAAAAGGAGTCTGTAGTTCAAACATGTCAAAAATGTTCTGAAAGCAGCTGAACTTTCATACAATACTCAAGGAAATTCAGGGCTGACAGTCTACAGAGCTCCCATAAGTTTTTCAGAAGGTCCTGACAAAATTAGTGAACATAAATCAACAAGAGTATTGAAGAATTTATACTGCCAGTTCTGGGAATTTCAGAGGGAGAACAACAGAACCAGTGCAAGCACTTCACTGATATTCTGCTCAGGATGTCAGCAATCATCCTGATCCAAGATCCTTAGAAATGGTCTTAAAACACAAACAAACAAACAAACTAGCACCCTTTCAAAAGCTGTCAGTCGTAACAGCAACAGATGTTGTTTTTATCCAGACAGATTTACGAAAACTTTTTGGAAACCCCTGCTATGTCCTCAGCTTCTTCGCTTCCTACTACAACCCTGACAAATCTAGAGATTTTCATGTTCTAAATAAACTTCTACAGTGCAATTCAACTTAAATAAGCTCAGGTAGGTCAGACAGCACAACTTAAATTTCTGGCACAGCTAACACGCATGGCATTTGTACAATATGCCTAACTGATCAAAGGACAAGTCAGTCCATCAGAGGAGTAGAATAAAGCACCCAGAAAAAAGTTACAAGTATCTTCTCTTTAGAAATCATCCACATTTAGAACTGAAGGATGGTTCTCCCCTAGTCTCTAAACTACCTATTTTGTTTGCACTGCAATTCTAGGACCAAAACATTATTTTTTTTCTCTTGTCTGGTCAGGAGACCTATTTTGCAATTGTGGCTTCCTTGCAGGTGGCCATACCATTTAGCATTCATTTATAAGTACATCAATCACCACATAACATTTCTTGATAGTAATCACAGAAATTTTTCTCAGATTTAAGGTAATAGGGCTCCACTGAGGCAATCTGAACTTCATAAGAACTAGGACTAAATTCCTCTTCCTTTCAGGAGAGGAGCTTGTTATTTTTATCTAGCTTGTTCAGAATAAGACAGATA